CTGATAGGCTTTGTACCTGTAATTTGTTTTCTTGAATGCTCTTCCTTGGAGTCACAGCTTGCTAAAATTTTTTCTTGGCTCTGCTCCCCACCTTTGGCTTCATAGAGTCTGATTCCATCCAGTTTTTCTCCCTCTGATCAGGAGCCTTAGCCAAGGGTTGCTACTAGGCAGCCATCTTCCCAGAATCAGATATCCAAAAGGAAAACCTATACCCATTAAGCGTCACTTCCCATTCCCTCCTCCCTCCAGCCGCTGGCAGTCACGAATTTGCTTTCTGTCTCTATAGGTTTATTTATTCTGTGATATTTCATATAAATTGAATCGTATATAACTTTTTGTGTCTGACTGTTTTCATTTAGCCTGAGTTTTGTGGTTCATTTAGATTGTAGTATATATCAGTACTTCATCCCTTTTTATGGCTAAATAATTTTCTGTTATGGGGATGTAGCACAAATTGTTCATCTGCTCATCCACTGGTGGGCGTTTGGATTGTTTCTACCTTTTGGCTATTGTGATAGTGCTGCTGTAAACATTCACGTATATGTATTGGTTTGAGTACCTGTTTTCTGTCGTTTGGGTATGTTTCTTGGGGTGGAACTGCTGGGGCATATCGTAATTCCTTTGTTTAACTTTATGAGGAAGAGCCAAACTGTTTTCCACAGTTGCTGAACCATCTTCCACTTCCACCATCATTGTATGAGAGTTCCAATTTCTCTCCACATTCTCACCAACACTTGTTATTTTTCTTTTCCTTTTTAAAAAATAGATTACGGCCATCCTAGTGGGTGTGAAGTGGCTTTTACTTTCATTTCCCATGTAGGGGTTAGGAACTACAGAATAGAGAACAAACCAGATGAGACATCCAATCTCATGGATATGATACTGAGTGAAAAAAGAAATGGAAGTAGGCATATACTTCAGTACATTTTATGTAAATTAGAAATATCTGCAACATCCTATGTTATACAAAGAGAGACACCAATTGCCTTTCTTTTATTAATGGTGAAAACTATTTGCTATAGACCCTTCTTAATTTCCTCTTGCTAGTTTCAAGACAACCTTTCCCATAGCCATACCCATCTTGAGAAAAGCCCTTACTCTGTGTTAGTCAGGGAAGTGGATTCGAGGCTGCTTCTCTCATTCTTTGTATTAAAATTTCCTTTTTTCTTTGGTAGTCCTCGTTGTCTTAACAGTTGCTTATTGTGTGCCACAAGGAACTGAGCAACTGGTCCTAGATCAAAACTGTTTTGTGGTTTCGATAACAGTTTCAGTCTGCCAAGTTAGCACAGCTGCTTAGTTTCTTTCTAATTTTATCACATGATCATTCCCTGAATGGACAAGCTCCCTAAGCCAACCCACCTCCCTCTTGATACAGAAAAAACCCAGAAGAACTGAGTAGAAAGATTTTACTTGGTGAACACTCACTGTTCTTTGGGAGATTTAAGTGAAACTCTTAAGGTGCTCTGTTTTTCTTTAACAGGTGCTTTCTTTAAATAGAAATAAAGACAGTCATTGGAGTTTACAGTCACTTCTTACTGGCATTAATAAAGTGGAAACTGAACACTGATGTAGGGCAGCCAACAGGTTCATTGGAGAGAAGACATATGATTTCCTCTCAGTAAGTCATACCTAATGAAGTCATAACAGATAAGAAAAAAAACCAGTTATGAACTTAGCAGCACTACCGGTAAGTGTCATCAAAAGTTCAGCACCTCCCCAAGCTGTATCAGAACAATGGAGGACAAATGGTCTGAGGAGAAAGAAAGGGAGGTTTATTCATTTGCTGACAAATTAGGAGAATTTCCAACTCCCATCTTAAAGTACCATTGTCCTAACGACAGTAGAACCTCTGTAAGTTGGCCATTCAAGGAACTATAACAAACAGGTCAACACACAGAGGTGGTCAACATAAGGAACTCGGTCTACTGTACTGTTAGGTACATGTCTATGAAAGTAAGGTCAACTTAAGGAAGTGGTCAATATAGGGAGGTGGTCAACTGTGGAGGTTCTAATGTATGAGCAGAAATAGAGAGCTATTAAAGGGTGAGTTTTCAGCTTCAGGCTACTGCTGTTTAGGTATACTCTCAGTTGGTGATCCTGAGAAGATCTGTTTAAGTATACTTTCAGTTGGTCATCTCTGGAGAAGACAATTGGGTGACCTCCCACAGACAATTCTGTTGAGCCATTCCCTGTGGTAAAAAGAACAAAGAACACTCCTTTTCTCTTGGCTGGGCACTCCCTGGCCCTGGGCACAGAAGCGGTTTTTAATTCCCAAAAAAGAGTGGGGGAGGTTTTAGAAAGACAGCTTATAAAACATTTTTACCCTTTTTCAGGCCATTTTCTCTGTTGCATAAGTACAAGTAAAGAACTTTAAAAGGTTTATATTCCCCCACACCAACCAATTCTTCCATACCACATGGAGTCCAACAAAACAATTCAATTCTGACTCTAATTACTTAGAGGTAAAGCACTTAGCCCCACAAGACATCCCTACTTCAGACACCAATACCAAATAAAGTACCCAGACTATTCACATTTCTGGCCGACTACAAATTTGGTAGTTCCCATGACCCTGCCCAAGTTTGATAACTTAGTAGTGGAATGACTCATGGAACTCAAGAAAGCACTTCACTTACTATTATTATAAGAGATAAAACTCAGAAACAACCAAATGGAAGAGATGCAAGTTATGGGGTGGAGGTATGTGGAGCTTCCATTCCGTTTCTGGGCACACTACTCTCTTAACACCAAACCAGATGCTCCTAGAACCCCATTTGGGGGGGTTTGTGGAGGTTGCTTTATGTAGGCATGGTTCATTGAATCATTAGCCAGTAGTGATTGATCTTAATTTTCAACCGTTCTCCCTTCCCCTGGAGCCTCTCTGAGAGTCCCCTCATTATTAGCTTAAACTCAGGTGTGGTTGAAGGGCTCATTGTGAATAACAGAAGACATTTCTATCACCCAAGAAATTGCAAAACTGGGGACAAGATGGAAACACCTAGTTAGGAATTGCTGAGCTGAAGAAAGAAACTGAGGCAAAATTAATACAGAGTATTTATTTGGGCCAAGATTGAAGACAGCTCCCTGGGAAACACCTCTAAGCTACCTTGGAACAAAAGAAAG